TTGATATTGTACTTTGGTAACATTATGCCAGTAAGGGCCCATCCTTCAGAGTTTAAAACCTGGAGGAAATGTTACTTTCTATCTAGAAGGGTTCCAGCATTATTAATCTTGTGCTGAGATAGTTAGATCAATAGCGATCGCTGTGAGGTTGTGCATACAAGAATCAGGTTAAGTCATATCAAGGAGGAGGGATGTAGATATTAATAACAGTGTACTGCTGTCCCTGTTAGAAATGCAACAGCATACTGATTGTATTACTGACATTCAGAGATGTAATATTGTCTTTTGAGCTGTAGATGGCGCTGTAGTGCAATGTTAGTCTCTATGCTTATGTATACTCATATATGATACGCAGGATGTTTTCCTGTATATACGTTTAATCTCTACAATGCTGTATTCAGATGTAACGTTCTTCTAAGCAAGTAAAACTTAATTCAGCATTCCTCAAGATCTCAGTGCTTCATCTAAACACATAACCAACAGTCCCAACTATTGAAATGTAAGAATAATGGAACATCCATGGGGGTCCCACTGTGCCAACCCTGGAAAAGGAGTAGGTAGCATGAAAGTCATGTGCTGTTGGGGGCCTATTAAGTGCCATTGCTTTAGAGCTGACCAAATGGATTTCTGGGAGAAGTATTATATGAGTTTAATTTGTTTGATGTAGTCAAACACTAATGACCTCTTAATTTTAGAATTTAGGCCCCAGACATTCCAGGGTAAGAGTTGAAGGCTACTTAATCATCGGGTTTAAAAGATAAAACAATGGGCAGATAACATCCTTGTATCTCACTGTATAGGAGGGAATACATGCAATTGTCTGCTGTCAGTGTAAGCATGGTCAGGAAGTGTTGAAGGTGAAAGGCAGACTCAACGCACATTACCGTAGTACTACATAGAACAGACTGTTCTCTTGTTTCCCTAGTTTTGTTATTTCAACTTCCAACTCCCCCCTGGCCCAACATGGGTTAAGCTTTATGTCCTAACATAAAAAATATGAAGAACAATGTCCAAAGTCTCTCCACTTCCTTCACTCTCTCAAACAGTATGGGAGTCAACCAGATAACATACAAATTAAGCTAGTAAATAGTTCAACAAATTTAGTTGGAGTACCAAAATTGAGTAAGCACCTGACACCACCTAGTGGTGTATTCTGAGCAGTTCAGGTGACTGCTCACAGGTATACCAAAATAAATGTGTATACAGGTATGGAGGCACACAGCAGAAGAGTTCTTGCTGTAATAAAAGTGTGAACTAATCTGTCCAGGAGAGAGCAAGATGCTTATTTACATTCTAAGAAATGGGACAAAAAAAACATGTTGAATATACCTATAGAATATGGAATGTGGTGGCTTTATCCTTAGATAATGATCCTCGCATGTTGTGCCAGTCCAAGTTAGGGAAGATGAAGCACGATCCCTGTCTCTGAAGAGTTTTACGAAGGAAGCGCGAACAAAAAGCCACAATAAACAAAAGCGGTTTTCTCAGGAATCTCTCAGATTATCAGTTGTAGGGTCCTGAAGTCAGGTTGCAACAGTCAGAGGTAACCTAGAGCAGTGTTCCCCAACCCCCGGTCCGCGGATCAAATGGTACCGGGCCGCACAGTCTCAGTGCGGTCCGGTCATGCAATATATGGCAGTGCACGGTCCCGGTGTTCGAACACCGGGGCCCCGCACTGCCGACGGGCTTCACAGTGAGGGGGCGGGTCCTGTGACTCACCTCCCCTCCCGGCCGCGTCTATAGTAACAGGCGGCGGGAGGGGAGGTGTGTCACAGGAGACGTGTGTGTGTTACACGCCCCGCCCCCTGCAGTGAGTGCACACATCGACACATAGCTGCTGCTCCTGGAAGGGTGAGTCTGAGCGGGGGAAGGGGGGGGTGTCTTACATCATGTCATTAGACGTGGATTATAATGGGGAATATTACACTGTAATGTTCCCTATTATAATCTATTTCTCTGTTATGTACTGCTATTTTATGTAATTAGAAAAGTGGATTATAATGGGGAATATTACACTGTAATGTTCCCTATTATAATCTATTTCTCTGTTATGTACTGCTATTTTATGTAATTAGAAAAGTGGATTATAATGGGGAATATTACACTGTAATGTTCCCTATTATAATCTATTTCTCTGATTAAATGATTACAGGTAGGCATGTGATCTATCAAAGTTTGAGACTACGTTAGAATGTGTGACCAGTGACGTGGTCACACATTTTAACGTAATCTCGCCCAGTTTTTCGGTGGTAAAATAGGTGAAGAATTCCAACGCTTTCATTTTTTGGTGTAACTGTATTTTATTTTGAAGGCATGTTTAAATACAATTAAATTAAAATTATTAAATCAAAATAATCTAAAATATAAAGAATCAACGTCCCCCCCTCAGCGGGCCAGGGTAAAATTATCAAGCGTTGACCGGTCCGCGGCGATAAAAAGGTTGGGGAGCACTGACCTAGAGGATTTGAAAATGGAGGAATAAAGGGTCTATCATCCTAGTTGGAGAGATGCCTTGTTTCCTGCGATTCTAAGCATCCAGCCAGTTACTAGCCTCAGTAGGGGGTGTTAAAAGAACTGTGTTTAGGCTGGGTTCACACTTCGTCCACAGTGTTTGCTCACATTTTTACACGCGTTTTATGCGCATAAATCAAGGCGTGTGGTTTTGTGAGCAGATTGTGACACATTGCAATGGAAACGCTCAAAACCATGCATTTTGCGTTTGTACATTATCAGTCTATGGGGCCAAGAAGCGCTATATCAGCCAAAAAGAAGCTCATGTACTTTTGCCAGTGGTGGATGTTTTGCTACAAGTGACATAACGCTCTGATGTGAACATGGCCATAGAAATGAATGGGGTTTTGTTTTGAGCATATTTTAGGGCAGAAAAAGTGCTACAAAATGCTGGGTGTGAACCAGGACTTGCCGTTACAAACCACACAAAGTTTAGTGGGATAAAGCATACTTTATGAAATCTCTGAAGCGCTCCTTAAAGTGATATTAAAGTCCATTTCACCCTTTGTGATTCACATTTATTGTGGTAATGAAGAGGTGCAGTGATGATGAATATATGTGCACATTTTTATGACGCACATTTTTATGACTCACATTTTTTAGGCTTCATTTTAGCCTCTGGGAGCTGCACCCGCAGGAAGAGGGTGTATAGAAATGCAATAAGCATGCTTTTAAGCTGCTTTGGCTTCCCGCCTCTTGGGATTTGTCCATCCCTGCCTTATTCGAAGGATGCGAGGACTCACCATGACCTGGGTATTTTGTCAGTATCCTGGAACTGTGAACCACATAGGGAGTCACAACTGCCTTGACCCTGATCCTAGGCATATTTAGCCAGCTTTTCCCCTGCACATTTAGGGGCAGACTGGCTGAATTTTGACCATGGCAGTTGAGCTGGTAAGTCAGGAAGCACTGGTGGTATAGGAAGAGGATTTGTATTGCTCTTGGGCAGCATGATTCAGTCAGGATCCCGTGACCAAGACAACAATCGCAGAACGCTCCTCGCATCTCAGCAGTCAAACACACACTTGGCACATCCATACTTAAATTAATGTGCTTTGTGTATTTCTTCCAGATCTGAGCAGTGTTCCAGTGTCAAACTTTACATGGACCTTCCTGTATTAAGACAAGAACCTCCTGTGCTAAGACCAGTCACTACTGCTGTATTTCCTTGAGATAGGTGACTGGTCTTGTTTCCACCCCCTTTTTTAACCGCTTGCCGTCCACCCAAAAACAGACGGACAGCAAACTCACATTGGCGGGTTGCCGCAAATAAACGGCTTTTTTTTCTCTGCTCGCACGGGCAGAAAAAACACGTCTGTTACCGGCTGTTTCACATACAAGCGATTGGCGGCTCTATAGCCTGCTGATCTTTTGTATGTGCTGCCTGCGTGCGCCCCTTCCCCCTCTTAGAGACCCCTAATGTCTCCATAAAGAGGACCTGTCAGTGTGCCTTTGCTATTATATAGGGGGATTGTTATCCCCCTATGTGGTAGCAATAACATTAAGTGTAAAAAAAATAATAAAAGTCACATATAAAAAAAGTAAAAAGAAAAACCCCACATTTTTTAAGTCCCCCACCCCCCTGTTTACGCACATATAAAAGTAAATGCGCGTCAGATGCGGCAGCGTGTGAAAACGACAATTGCGCTACATATGTTGCATATCACCGTGAATGTCGGAGTGAGGGCAATCATTTTAGGACCATCAATCACTGATAACACTGAATTGATGAGCGGTAAAAGCTTTTAAAGCGTCGCCTGTGGCCAATTTTGGGTATTGTAGTTTTTTGAGGTTTCGCAGGCACGCGCAATTTTAAGTCTTTTCTTACTATAGTAAAAAAATAAAAATCCCAGTGGTGATTAAATATCACCAAAAGAAAGCTCTATCTGTCCCCAAAAAATTGTATAAAATTCATTTCAGTACATTGTTGCATGATGGAATAAATGTCAGTCAAAGTACCGCAGCGCTGAACACTGAAAAATGGCCTGGCCAGGAAGGGGGTGTAACACAGCGGATTTCAAGTGGTTAATTTTCTGCAGGCAGCCTGTAGTGGGTGGACCTGTTGGGTCCCTCCCACAGCTCTGCTCTTTGCAGAGGTTATGTGTAACACAGTGATGTCACCATTTTTTTTTTACAAGGGAATAAATGGATTTGCAAATGAATTTGATACACACAAAATGTTATTTGTATCTTTTAAATCTATTGAGGAAATTAATTTCAATTAATCTGTTTGTGCCCAGAGTTCAACTGTAAAGCTAACAAGCTGCATGGAAAACTTTATAAAGTTTGCCATTACTTGCTAATGGCTGGTTTGCACTGTGTTTCTAGGTGGTGTGGTACTTCCCATTACATAGTTGTTGCATGAAAACAGATTACCCCACAGCAATTTACACTTATTGCCACTACAGCATTGCTTCTAGCAGCTAATATTGTAGCTTTAATGTCTGCAGTTTGTATTGATCTGTATATTTTTGTGTTTCTGTCATCAGGTGGCTACCATCCTGTGAAAATAGGTGACCTGTTTAATGGCCGGTACCATGTGATCAGGAAGCTAGGATGGGGTCACTTTTCCACCGTGTGGCTGTGCTGGGATATGCAGTAAGATTCCCTTTTATTTAATGTTATGATACACTTACAACTGTTGGTAGTAAGCTTTCAATTGTGTGTATTCTACAGATAATTCACTAACAATACTGTTTCTTATTTAAGGGGACCAGGTAGTTGCATTAGCTGTGATTGCGTCATTGATTCTTTTGCAGTGGAACTCCACATGGTTACTTTTTAAAGAAGTCTAAAGAACTTTAATGATTTATATAAAGATTGCTTTGTATTCATTAAAGTAGAACAAGAGCCCAAGGCAGATATGTTTATTGGGGTAGCAGATACCCCCTTCCCCTTCGGTTTTAAGTGCCCACAATTTCCTTTTCTGTGTTTTTAAGAATTGTGAACAATGTTCTGTTTCATTTCTAGGGGGAAGAGGTTTGTTGCAATGAAGGTAGTAAAAAGTGCACAACACTACACGGAGACTGCGTTGGATGAAATAAAGTTACTCCGATGTGTAAGTAAGATCCTGTAAATAAACATTAAAGTGTACCTGTAGTACAGGAGAAAATGGGAGTGCAACAAAGATGGTCACCTCCTGACCTTTGCAGTGGGGCTACATCTGCAGTGGAGGGAATAACGGCTTCTTTTGGTCTAAGGGCACAAAAGCAAAATAAACTTGTGAGGCTGCTAGACCGGGCCCCACAGCCTCTTCTCCCCTGGTCTCTTCTCCCCTGGTCTCCAGTGGTCTAAGGGCTGATGACATCATCACATCATCAGGTCCATTGATTCCATGTGAGTATGCCGAGGGACATACCACAGCCGTAGCAGAGGTGAACCCTGACTGTCGCAGGATCGGGGTAAGTAAATATTCTTAATTCCGCCCTCTAGACTAAAATAAGCTGTTAACCCTTGCAGTGTTGGATAGCCGCACTGTAAGGGTTAGTTTTATAAAACCTGGAGTTCTTTAACCTCCCTGGCGGTAATCCCGAGTGTGGCTCGGGGTTAATTTTAAGTACCAAAAGCGGTAGCCCCGAGCCACACTCCCCGCTGTGTCCTCCGGCTGATGCCGGCAGCCGTCTTCTGGGTTCTGTCCCTTGCGAGTGTCCGCGTCGCGGGGGGGCGGAACCGGCGGGAAATTTAAAAGTAAAAAAAAAAAAGAAATAATCAGACCGCCAGGGAGATTGAAGAAGGCACAAATCAATTGACAATAATTAGTACAAATGCATGCTCTCAAAGAAAAATCATAATCCCAGGATCTCAGTTATAGGCCTTGTATTTATGTGCTGCATTACTCCTAAATATGTAGGCATCCTCTGTGTTCCCAGTTCAACATTTCCCCTCACTTCTTTTATCTGATGGGAGTCTGTTTGAAAATGCTTGCTGAATGTTTGCTTCCGTATTCACCTTTCCCGTAGCTTGTCATTGGACAGCAGCACATTGATCAGATCATTTCTCTTTCCCCATTCTCTAAGTACTGCTGGGTGATTAGTGGATACTGGTGTCACAAGTTTGGGTGCAAATGATCCATAAGGCAAATATTTAAAGTATTGAAACTTTTATGCATTATTAGACAACTTCAATCTATGCTTCTTTGTAGCAGAATATAAAAATGTTATTTATCAGAAATAATGCCTTTTTTCTCTTGCAAGGTGCGGGAAAGTGACCCTGGAGACCCCAATAAAGACATGGTTGTACAGCTAATTGATGATTTTAAAATCTCTGGAATGAATGGTATTCGTATCCTTTGCTGATTACATAAATGAACCAATGTTTAAAGAATGGCCTTGCTTATTTTGTAAGAGGGTTAAAAAGTAAAAATGATAATGGAAAAGAACATCTTAGTTTGCCTATAGTGGTTTTTTTTTCTTGATTCTAGTCTTTAAATATAACCAACAGGTCATGTTTTCAGGATTGCCTTTTGCTACGACCCTTTTGTCAATTTGTAAAAATGAACCATGATTTGGCCGATACTTAGCTATCTGACAGCTGGCGAGTCAAAGCTTCCTTTTCTTCAAGAGATACCTGTGCATCTGTTGTCTGACACTTCTGGGTGTGTTGAATAGCATGTCCCCTGCTGTGTGCTGTAGTTCACCTCTCTGCAGCCACTACGTCCCTTGTGTTCTGTTTATAACATGGTGGCTGAAAAAAGGAACCACGGTGCCTTCTACCTTGATTTGATTTAATGTGTTCCTGGGAAAGTTATTAGTTCTGATTTTGTGACCAAAGAACATCTTGCAAACATGAACTGTTTGGGTATTTCAAGAAATGGTGGTCTGTAGGGCTTTGCTTAAAACAGATGTGGCAAATTATACTGTTGATAGGAACTCTTGTTGTGTGCGCATTTGTTTAAAGAAGAACTCCGGGCATATATAATTTTAACCCTTGCAATGGGGCTACCCCTGCACTACATGGATTAAGTGCTTGATTTCGCCTAGGGAGCTTAAATAACAAAAAGATATACTCACCCCAAACTGTGATCCCAGCTGTCTCCTAAACCGGTCCCTTCAGCCTCTCTTCTCCTCCGTTCCAACAATGGTATGTTCCTCTGCATTTCCTCATATTCTATTTGCTGCATAGGACATGATGACTCACAGGATCTTGGAAAGTCAGAGTGGAGGAGGAACAAAGCTGAAGGGAACGGTCTAGGATCCGGCCTGGATTATGGTTCGGGTGAGTATATCTCTGTTATTTTAGCTCCCTATGCAGAACTAGCACTTAACCCTTGCAGTGCAGGGGTAGCCCTGCTGCAAGGGTAAAGATTTTATTTGCCCGGAGTTCTTCTTTATTGCTTTATAATATGCTATGGTTATTCTCATCTTAAATCAGCTTTTCTTTTTACACTGGAGATCTTATAAATCAGGACTTCTTTGCTGTTGGATAATTGGCATGGCTTTGGCTGGTTTCTAAACAGGGTCTCAAAGGCTTATAGGAGAGTATGTATGACTTTGTTTAAAAAAAAACCAAGTCCTTTATTTGCTTTTGAACACCATGTGTACTACGTGCATAGACTATCATGATCTGAAAACTACTTTATATTTTCCTTCGGACTGCACGTACAATTTTTATCTCTTCTGAAATGTATTTAATGTATTTGGTGGTTTATTTTCTTAACTTGGTTCCAGACGTATGTATGGTATTTGAGGTTCTTGGACATCATTTGTTAAAATGGATAATCAAATCTAATTATCAGGGTCTTCCCATTCGCTGTGTAAAAAGCATTATTCGCCAGGTAAGTTGAACATAATCTGCTTATATGTTGCCGTCTCTGGTTCCTCTCTCCCCCTCCATCAACATGCTAATAACATTTTTAAAGGAACCCTTCCCATTTTTATTACAATTATGTCACCACCGAGGCTCTGTTTCTCTATGCAATCCAGGGATATCATGGCTGGTGGCAGGGGCCAACAGGGTGCCGTACATAGCTTCTTGAAGCATCATAGCACCCTGCCTCGGTACTCATCTCCAGTGCCCTCACCCCTGTTGCAAGCAGTGGGTTGGTTCTTGGGAGACGTTACGCAAATATCAAAATGCCTTCATGTATGTCTGTAATTTGGGAGGAGTGGGTGTTCCTAGGCAGATTGCATCTGCATGCAGACTGCCCTAGGTAACTCCCACATGTAATGCTAAGCTTCCCCAATTGAAAGAATTATACCAAGTAGGGAAGTTCAGATACCAAGTACTGTACTCAGTACAAGTACATGTACAGATACTTTTCCAGCTCCAGGACAAGACTAGAGAAAAATTCAAATGTCAGGATTCAGCTGTCATTTTTAAGGAGCATTCAGAGCTCCTGGGATTTGTGCATTCCCATTTTAATGGAAAGCCAGAGCGAGGTCCCAGCGGCAACCACTGCAACCCTGGTAGTTCTCTAAAAAATGCCAAGTATCGGCACTGGTATCTGGACATATCTAATGCTAAGCATTTTGGGAAGAATTGAAATGCTTTCCAAATGCTTAGCATAATCTTGCAAATGTAAGTCAATGTGTCAGCACATATCTATGTCTTGAGACAAGTGCTTGCACTGCTATGCAGCAGGAGTGTGTGGTTCCCCAGAGTTAAAAATATCTTGACTGGTAGAACTGTGCACATGCATATGCATTTGATCTAGATACTGCAAATTCCTGACTGCTGGGCCACCCCAGCATATGGTATCATTTGTGCAATATTGCCCTTTATGCGCCTCATTGCCATTTTTCTTTTAGCATGAATACATAAACTTCACCACCATTAAAGAATATTACACATGGCACAGTCTTAAAAATAGGCATCGTCACATAGTCTGCTGAGTTTCTAAATACAGATGTGTGGAAGTAACTCACATAGTTTGTTAAATATAGAATGTTTCCAAATTGACTTGTGAATAATTTCCTTCATTGTCTAGGTCCTTCAGGGCTTGGACTATCTGCATAGTAAATGTAAAATTATCCACACTGACATAAAACCAGAAAACATCCTGATGTGTGTTGATGATGCCTATGTCCGAAGAATGGCAGCGGAAGCCACGGAATGGCAGAAGGCTGGTGCACCGCCTCCCTCTGGTTCTGCAGGTATGAGTTATAGATCGGCTTACTCCAATTTGTTGTAAGATGCGCCCAGAGCTTCAGAGATATAGCAATAACTTCAAACTTGATAGTAATCCAGTCCTGCTGTTCCAGTGCCCCCAGTCATTCTAACATCTGAAACTGCTCGCAGGGCTACTTCTGATGCTGCTGATGTCTGCAGCTTGGGGTCATGCTGATCTCAGCTGTGAGTCTTCTTTGGCCCTTTAGGTCTTACTGGGTCTTCTGCCCTCTCGGCTAAGGTTTTTTTTTTCCAGTAGCCACAAACAAGCTTCCACACCCTCTCCAGTAGATACTATATACTAAGAAGTTGCAGTCTACTGCATTAATGTGCTGCACACCACTCTGAAGTTTGAAAATTGGCCTGTTCTACCAGTGCAGTGTCTAGCCTGGGGTAGCATAGGGCCCCTAAGGCCTCAAATACATTCCCTATGCAACCACTTTTCCAGTGGTTTCTATATGAATATGCTCCCTCTGAGTGTTTGCTGGCCTTGTATCTGTTGTGGTTTTGATCTGCATAGCCTTCAAGGGAGAGCGCCTCTTCAGGCCAGCTCTAGATGTGCTTATCAAGGATGCTATTGGTCAAGAGAACAATTTTCTCCAGTGGAAGAAGCCTAATGAGCAGACTGCGAAGTTCTCTCCCTCTCAGCACTAAAAAGTATCCATTTCATTTCCGCACTCCGTCAATTTCAACGTCCAGGCCCTCTGAGCTGCCATCCACTCGCAAAGTCTGGCACTCAAAGTCTGCCAAAAGACTCAAGAAAATTTTGAGTACTCAAGAAAAAAAGTTGAAAAACCCACAGTAGACATTTGCCCCATCTTAGACCTCAAAGCCGTAATGTTTACATTTGGGCCCAAAAATTCCAAAGAAATCAACCAGATCATTTTTGCTTCCCTTCACCAGGGAGGCTTTCTGGCTTCTGTGGACAGGAGTTGCTTACTTACATGAGCCCATATTCCAGGGCACCCATGCTTTCTGCAGTTTACCCTAACATTCAGTCTGCCCTCTGCACCATTGTTCAGTTGTTGACCCTGTCAACAACTGAAGGTTAGATGTGGACCTCATGGACTCCAGGTTCAAGAACAAACTGGACAGGTCTGTATCCAAGTGCAGGGATCCATTTCTGAAAGCTCTGGTGGCTCTGTGGGATCAGTACACCTTGATTTTGTGCTTTTCTTTCCCTAAAACTTTTCCTCATCTGCTCCGCAGGCTCAAGATGGAGGAGATTGCTGTGATCCTTATTGTTCTAAATTGGCCCAGATGGATGTGGTATGCCAACCTAGTAAGACTTCTAGCAGATGCAATGTGGGCCTTGCCAGACCATCTGTCTCTTCTGTCCTGAGGGTTGATTTGCCATCCTGCTTCTCGGTTGCTGGCTTTAATGGCTGTTAAAACCCAGGTTCTAAAGGACAGGGCATCTCTGAGTCTGTGATTCCTCAAGACAAGGCAGACATCTTTCAGGCTTATGGTCTTAAGGATCGAGTTCCTCCAGGTCCATAAGCACCTCTGTATGTTCTACCTGGTGGACCTTTCTGCCTCATCTGATGCCAGCTTTTGGAGTGTGTTTTTTTGAGCTCTGTAGGCAGTCCCCAGTATCTTATTGTTATTTTGGGCCTGTAAGCAATTGTTTGCTGTTGCCACACCTCGGTTGCACTGCTTTTGGATGTTCAGAATCTTTAAGACTGTACCTCAATGGGCAAGAAAGAATTAGGATTTTTGTACTTGCCCTAAAATCCTTTTCTTGAAGTCCATTGACGGACACAGGTCCCATCCCCATATGTTTATGATCATACTCTTGGCACTGTTACACAACTGAGGCATTCTGGTAGTATTATACCCTGGATTGATCTACAGTTTACTTGCCAGCATCCAATCCTCCTGTAGTTGGTAGTATAACCCAAAAGTTTAAGACTTCTGGTGTCCCTCAATGGTTTCCAAAGAAAGGATTTTACAGTGAGTACAAAAATCATACTTTACTTCATAGGATCACATCAGTCTTATGGTTAAGCTGCACAGGTTATTTCAGTGTCTTGCTACTGACTAAGAAAACTGCACATATACTGTGCAGTTCTGTTGGTTGTCCTGTAATAATATTGCAGCTACTATCGCTGGTACGTAGGTGCTCGATAGGATGCCACAGAGCAACTGGTTTAACTCTGCTGCATGTTCATGCACAGGTCACTTTACTGGTTAATTATCGGGCAGAAAAGTCCTTGATCACTAGTCTTGATCTAGAATGATGCCTTCTCCTGGGTAGCCCTCTGAAAATTAGGTAAGGGGTAATCTCTCTCTGGTAGTACAAATATTGATACGGTTACTTAGTGCTAGGGATGCACCAATACCATTTTTTTAAGACCCAAGTACGGTTTCTCAAGTACTCGCCGATACTAATTATTGATACTTTTCTTTTTAAGTAACGTGACATTTTTTCTAAAACAATGTAGACTAATGAATTTAAGACAGTGATGGTGCACCAGGGCCCAGTCACAGCTGCAACTTCTGCGACCCTGGTAGTTCTGCCCCTGACTCCAAGCTGTAGAGGGATTACAAATCCCAGCAATACATTATACAGCAATGCAGAATGGCACCAGCTATAGAGGACTACAAATTCCAGCAATACATTTTACAGCAATGCAGAATACCATCAGCTATAGAAGACTACAATTTCCAGCAATCCATTATCCAGCAATGCAGAATAATATGAAGCTACATACTCTGTGTTGCTCACCAGGTGTGCGGCGTCTCAGGAGGCTGTGCGGGATCTGACCAGGCCTGTAACGGGGTCTCAGGAAGCTGTGTGCAGCCCTCACCAGGATTGTGTGCAATCTCAGGAGAATGTGCGGGGTCTCACTAGGGCTGTGTGTGCTCTCACCAAGCTATGCAGGGTCTCACCAGGGCTGCATTTGGGTCTCTCCAGGGCTGTACCGGTGGGTGTGGGGCTGTACCGGTCTCTGTGGGCAGCGGGAAGGAGGGGGAGATGTGTGGCCAGACCGGTGCCGTCAAAGACTGCTGTGGCAAGGTCCCCACAAGGCTGCTTGAGGTCTCCGGGAAGCGAGGGACCTCATGCAGCCGAATCTATAAAAAAATGTAAAGGGCCAGTATTGGCGCTTAGTATCGGGGCATTTTCACAAGTACTCGTGAAATTGCCCAGAATCGGCACCGATAATAGTTTTGGTATCAGTGCATCCATACTTGGTGCTATAGCCTAATTTAAAACATTTGTTTGCAAAAACACTTTAAGCTTATCTTCGAATATGAATACTATAGCTAGCGCTACATTCTATTCTACTTCTGAGCAGTTAAACTGTATTTTTTTTAACTTCCGTTTTATCAAAATACTGGCCATTATTCCCAAGAGAAAATCTGTGAAATTGTTTATAAAAGTGTAGTGGTGGTTTTGCCCTGATTTAAATTGCCTTTTTTGTTTCTTTTCAGTGAGCACTGCTCCGCAACAGAAGCCTGTAAGTGTTCTGGTAAATACCATTTCTATAATTGTATTACAAGTCTGAAGTCTTGGTATGTGAAAATATTATTGCCTGTTTCAATAACATGTAGCTGTTTTTTTAGCTCGCAGTTCGGGCACCCTATGAAAAGGGTAGTCTCGGGTGGCATGTAGTTTAAAAGAAAAAAAAAAGGGCAGCTGTAATAGAATTGTATCGTGTACACGATCCATTCATGGAATGCATGTGTCCCACGGTGCACCAAGTTCTACTTGCAGAGCTCACAAATGCCTGAACATCTCAGTAATGCAGCCTCTGATGTGCATTCTTACTTGTTACAAGTGTGCATGTTTTGGTTGCTAAGCTGACTGCAAAAGACCACAATTAAGAGTATGTTACTTTGTATCAGTTTCTGTTGCATTATAACCAGGGAATGTGGGTGGGACCTCTGAAAAACATAGGATGTGACCTGGAAGGTTTACTCTGTTCTGTGTGCAGTGTCTGTCTCTGACCCCCATGCAAATAAAGAACATAATGACAAACTAAAAGGGAGGTATGGAAAGTCTATGATCTCTGAGCTATGCAGTCAGTACAGCTGAAACCAAGAGGTTATAAAGAATCCCAGGTCCTTCAGCTATGCCTACACAAAGCTAGGAAAACTATGGGATAAGACACACAGAGGGAAATGTATCAAAACTGAGGCAGACATAATCTGGAGTAGCTGGGCATGGAAACCAATCCGCTTGTATCCTTCATTTTGCAAGTTTAACTGAACAAACTAAAGAGAGCAGCTGATTGGCTGCCACGGGCAACTGTCCCAGATTATGTCTACTCCAGTTTTGATAAATTCCCCCCATAGTCTGCGAGCACTATTTTTAACTTACAATTGGATTTGTGTTATTTTTAACTTACAATTGCATTTGTGATTGTAAAAAAAAAAAAAAAAAGTTCTGCTTTATTTGTGGTGTAAATGCCAAAGATGATACTAATTAGGCAAGTCTAGTTTTGAGAAAAATCTTCCTTGGCTTCCCACTTATGTAATGTTAAGGAGAGGTGGTGGAGCTAATGTTTACTATATATAACCCTGTCTGTATTGTGCTGGCGGATATCACTTTTAAACTAGATATGAACACTGTCTGTCCTAACAAAGGGTTCAAGATCTAGAAGTATTATATGTTAATGAGAGGAAGCCAATTGTGTCCCTAGTCTTTCTATGTGTACAAACTGTTCAGAATAGCTTGCAGTCTGTGCAAAGGTCTCCTTCAAAGAAACATCTAAAAGATCAGAAATATTTAAAAAAATGAATAGGTATGCTGTGTGAATGGGAACACATAAAAAAACCATTTAGTGGGGTTTTCTCAAACATAACTGCAAAAGTGGAAATACACATTTAGTTATCTATAGGCATGAGAAGACTGTCATAAGGTGAGAATATGGAGTAGAACAGGACAGTCAGCAGTTTGCAAATGCTGGTGACACATAAAGTGGGAGAAGGGTTAGAATGTATCAATTGTTTGCAAATACCATCCGTACTCCATACGGTCTTACAGCCTAAAAGTATTAGTGGTGCTCAAGGTGACCGCACGGATGGCGCCGTGCAAACACTAACAGTAATCACAGCGATTCACTGGCACACACTAGAAGTTCAAATATCAATATTTCACCTATAACATATTTGACTTGTCACTGTGTCGTTCTGATGAAGGGTCCCTGCGAGGTCCCGAAACATTAGCATCATGATGACATGATGTGACGTTTTCACAAATAAATATATCAATTAAATATTGATATTTGAACTTGTAGTGTGTGTCGGTAAATCCCTGTGATTAGGGCTAGAATGTCTGGCATCTGTAAGATGTTTAATGCAGTTTTTGTCCCCATAGAGGAGATTTCACTTATTTTCTTGTTTGACATGTTACTTAGACAGAAAGTGAAGGGAGATGTCACATGGGGACACAGACAGCTATGCAATCTTGTCAGAGGTTCGAAACCTTCCTTCCTCTGGTGGTTTTATTTTTTTTTTTTATTTCCTGTGCTGCCAGACAGAGCAATAAAAAGTTCCTTACTCTAATCCAAATGAGGAAGGGGGGGGGGGGGGGGGGGGGGTGGGGGTGGGTTTTGGG